ATGGAGGGGATTAAAAGTTGGCAGGTATGGAATATACCTCCTATGAAGTTCAAACCTTTAAGATTTTGATGTATCCGGCTACGAAACTACAATTGATGTTTTCGTTTACTTCAACCTCTCATAAAAATGTTCATATCTCCATGCACATTTTTAAGCTAGATTTTTGATACAGTCATTACAAATAACAGCCAAAGTAATCGATACAAGTTGCAAGCTTATTGATTGATTTTCTGGCATAGGATATTCAGAAATACTTGTTTTCTTTTGTAATTTATTGTCAATCCTTAAAATCTCTGAAATTAGAGAAATTAAAAAAAATATCAAAACCCGAAAGTGTGTCTACCTTTATTGTAGGGTTGTGCGTCTATATATATATATCAGGTTGAGTAAAAAGTTTTCCGCCAAAAAAAACAATCCTGTAAAATGATAAATAGATAGAAAATCAGCAAAGTTAATGAGGATAGTAATCTCCATTCAAATCAACAATAGTCTGTCAACGTTTTGGCAACTTTTCAATCCCTTCTGCGAAGAACTGGGGGGTGCGCGAGTCCAGAAAGCGATCAACCTCATTTATGACCTCGTCATTTGAACGGAAGATTGTGCCATCAAGATGCAGCTGCAGATGTGAAAACAGATAGTAATCCGAAGGTGCCATGTCTAGACTGTATGGTGGATGTTGCATCAAATCCCACTCCAGTGTTTAGAGGGTCCAGCCGGTCATTGCACTGGCATGTGGCCGGGCGTTATCTTGATGAAAGAGAACCACATTCCTTCTGAACTCGTTTTTTCGTTTTTCGCGAATGGCATCGCTAACATTGATTAGCATATTGCTGTATATTGTACTGTTGATAGCCTGCCCGCTTTTCAGGTTCTCCTTGTAGATAATTCCACGACAATCCCACCAGATACAGTGAAGGACCTTCTTGTTAGTTAGCGTTCGTCTTGCAAACGAACCTGCTGATTCCCCGGGTGCTGACCACCCTCCTTTACGTCTAATATTGTTGTAGTATACCCATTATTCATCACAGGTCACAATTCTGCCCAGAATGTTCTCTTTCCTTTGATCTCTGAGCAGAACCAAACAGGCCGCTTTTCTTTTGCTCTTGTCTTCAGCAGTCAATTCGTGAGGCACCCAGCGGTTAACCTAAATGTTAAATTTATGCTTTTGAGGGCATTTACTATTGTTTTTTGGCAAACGTCAAGCTCAAACGCAATGGTTCGTGTTGAAACATTTCCGTCTTGATCAATAATTTGCTTTAATTGGTCACAATCAATCTCAATAGGGCGGCCAGAACGTGGTTCATCTTCAATGCTGAAATTTCCACTATTAAACTTTCGAAACCAAACTTTTACTGTATCATAAGAAACAGTATTGAAACCTAAACTTTCACGCATTTTCTTGTTGCATTCAGTTACACTGAGTTTATTTCGGAACTCATAGTACATAATCGTTCTGATCTGCTTACGTGATAGCTCCATTTCAAACACTTTTCTGGAGCACAAGATGATAAAGTTTTGACAAACAAATTACACAGATGTGTAGTTCCAACTTTCAGCTTTAAAATGCAAAATCCCATTTCAGAAAAGGTTAACTACCGCGG